AGAGACGGAAACGTTATGGGATGCATGGCTGACTCCGGAACACTTTAACTAGCTCTTGCAGACAGCTTAGGAGGGTTTTACGATGGAGATGTCTTAACAAGGGCCAGAGGCTGACCTTATGGGCTAGGTGGTTGTTTAGGAACACTGTGGGATACATGCAGTCCTAGGTTATGAGCCAAGGACCACGTGTTTAGGTCATAGCCTACAGCAGGGCAGGCAGAGGAACAGAGATTTTGTTGTCTTTGTTTATAACCATGCACAATTGAAGTTGTTTGTGACCGTTTTTAAGAGAATTCATGGAGTAGTTTTGCTACAAATGAGGTACATTTGGTTGGGCTTGAGGAAGCTGCTATGAGCCATGTTACAACCTAAGCTGCTCATGCAGATGATAAACATCAGCATGGCTCATCCAGAGACAGGGAATGTATTTTTTTTCTCTGTAGTATCTAGACAGATACAGCAAAGTAAGCTCTCTCATTCGTAAGGCCTTTAGGAGCTGAACAGAAGGCCTTACATGTTTGAAAGACTCACGGTAAAAGTGCAATATACAAGGTCAATATAATGTTAATGTCTGTTCCAAGCTTCAAACTCAACAAATCAAATGTCTTTTAGACAGTTTAGACCATAAATGGCTTTAATGTGTGTTCTTCTAACTGGCTGTAATGTATGCTGATATAAGATTTGACTGCACTTCATTTTAGACCATGTAAGACAATATAAAGGGCAGCTGTGTTTTCAAATGGTATAATAAAAACGGTTATGTGATTTTGATATAACACTGACAATAATCTCTGTTTCAGCTATGACAGACATAGAAGGGATGCCTTAGTTCATACTGTATAGTTTTATTGTATGTTTGTTAGTTTTAAATCCAGAAATGTACTAACTCAGCAATTCTGCTCTGGCTTGACTATCTCAGGTCATGTCATGCCAGGCTGTGATCTCAGAGCCATTAGCTCTCAGTCCAGACACATGTGGATTTGTGCAGAGCACATCAGAGTGCTCCTCTCCAGTTGCCTTAGATCTCTATTCCATATGGCAGGAAGCGGAGAGAGACTTTCCACTCAGGGGCTATCCTCTGGATGTGTTTGCTCACAGACGCTTGGTTCAGCAACATCAACTGCACATGACTGCTGTGCTGAAAACTGTTCTTACTTCTGAATCCATTTATGTCTACTTAAATCTATTTGTACATCAGGATAACATACTATGAGTAACCATTTCATAGTCTAATTACATCACTAAACTAGATTTTTCGGTCAATACATCTTGGAAGGAATTCTTGGAAAGCAAAAATAAAACTCTACACATTCAAAACGTTCCCATAGGGAAGACTCAGGGCAGCCCTAGTCGGCTTGAATCAACTGCAGGACCCACAAAAATCCAAAACTAATGGGTCATAGCAGGAGGTCAGGAAATACAGTGGTTCCACCTAAAATCCCTCTTTTTACAGGCTTAATCATTGAGGGAAGACACCAGTTTCAGTGCGGCTTCATTACACGTCTAGAGCCAAATGAGAAGGACTCACGCAGACAACCGTTCATTTCTACACAGCTACGTAATTACTATGTGGACAGACACACAGAGGACCTAATTCAGGGCTGACGACTTCCATCCCACCCAAAACTCCATCCAGAGTTTTCGCTTTTTCTTCCCTGTTTTTTTTTTTTAACAGGGGAAGGAATTTTTCAGCACAGACCTCAGGAAGGCCTAATTATTTCCAGAGCGCAGGGGAGCAGCGATAGCAGCCGCACATGTTCCAGCCCTCATCTGGGCAAAGTGCTCCCGCTGCTCCTGAGCTGGCAGCACACCCAAGTGGAAACATCCAAACGCTGGAGCCGACAAAACAGAGTGGACACGGACCTCTATAGACTGACCAAATTTGGCATGGTCTCGCTGGAAGTTCTGAAGAACAGAAAATACTTAAAGGGACATTCTAGCCTAAAACTAGCTTTAACATGTTATTTGTCATGTTATACAGTATTCTGTACTGCAGAATTGCAACCCTAAGCCTCATCAGTTTGAGAGAATTCACAATTTTGTTCCTCTTTTGTGTTTTTGTCCATCAACGTTCTCACACTACAATACCCAGCATGCATTCCTCCACCCTTCCTACCACTAACGTTAGCTGTCTGGCTTTCTTGTGTGTTCGCAACTAGTGGAAAATAAGCTTGGACAATAACGTTAAGTTGTGAAACTTTGTGAAAATCTGCTTAGCCCCTAATGTAGCATAGCATTAATCACACAAAAAAAGGCCACATGACCAAAACACTGCGTAGCTACTGGCTGTTCAGCAGCCTAATGGCCTGGGGAAAGAAGCTGTGCCGGAATCGCCTGGTTCTGGACTTTATGCTTCCATACCATCTGCCACTCAGCAGCAGCGAGAACAGACAGTGGCTTAGGTGGGTGGAGTCTGTTGATCCCATAATATAGTCTTCTTCAGACAGCAACTGGTGTATAATTCCAGAAGAGATGGAAGTTGAACCCAAGTGATGTGCTGGGCTGCCTGCACCACCCTCTGTAGGGCTTTTCATTCAAGATCAGGGCAGTTTGTATGTATGTTTAGCATGTTTTGACCATGTAAGGTGCTCTATGATGTGTACCTTGCAGAACCTGAAGCAGCTGACTCTTTCTACAATAGCCCCATTGATGCTGATGAGAGTGTGCTTTCTCTTCTGCTTCCTGAAGTCCACTATTAACTCCTTGGTCTTGTTGACGTTGAGAGAGAGGTTATTTTTCCAAATCACCAATGTGTCAGGACACTAACCTCCTCTCTGTAGACCACCTCGTCATCATCAGAGATCCATCCCACTATCGTCAGTGTCATCTGGAAATTTAATGTTGACATTGAAGTTGTGCAATGTGGGGTCATGGGTGTACAGGGTGTACAGAAGAGGACTAAGGACACTACCCTAAGGGGATCCTGTTTGGAATGTCAGTGAGGAGAAGGTGATGCTGCCCATTCTTACCACCAGGCAACAGCCCGACAGAAAGTTCAGGATCCAGCTGCAGAGAACTGTTCAGATCCCATGTCGAGCTTTGAAGGGACATTGGTATTGAATGTTGTAATCCACAAACAGCATTGTCACATGTGTTGTTTTAGTCCAGATGGGAGACAGCAATGTGCAGGGCAGTAGGCAAACTGCAGTGGGTGTGGGGCAGCAAGTAATGAGGAGCAGGTGAAGACTCTAAAGCTCTTTCTTATGATAGAGGTTAAAGCAACTTGGCACCATTCATTTAAGCATAACTAGTGCTAGTTTGAAACATGCTGGAACAACAGACAGGGAGAGGGAGAGGCTTAAAAATTTCCGCAAACACTCCTGCTAGACGGCCTGCGCTGGCTTTAAGGATGCCGCCAGGAATGCTGTCAGGGCCGGCTGCCCTGCGGGTGTTTACTCGCGAGAGTGCTCTCTCAGGGGGCTCGGCGGGACATGACCCAAAACCAGCGTAAAAAGTGTAAAGCTTGTCAATAAACGCGGCAATGGCGCTAGTCACACTGACAGTTTTCCCCCTAAAGTCCATTATTGTGTTTAGCCCCAGCCACATGCTTCTCACAACGGTAGTGTTGAACTGTGATTCTACCTTAGCTCTGTACTCACCTTTGGCTGCTTATGGTTTTATTGGCATAGCTATCTTTTTTAATGCTTCTCCATGTCTCCGGATGTAAAAGCAGCTCTTCGTGTTTTTAAATCCAGACATGGAGGAGCATAATTTTCCCTGATGTTAATATAATTTCCATCTGGGCTAGCTTCTAATATAACTTAATAATTTATCATGACATTTCACATCCAGTGGTTCTCTCTGTTTATTTGAATGGAAACCAAAATACCAAAGTGACGCACTGGCACCCTTCCTTTCGACAAGCTTGTCAATTTTACTCTGTACCAAGGAGTAGATTTCATGCATCAGAGTTTATTTGTTAAATTTGTATCCCAGCTTTGTTTTCCAGGTTGAAAATCTACCTTTTAATCTGTCCAAATGGTGTTCAAAGTATGTATGCATATAGTTAATTAGTTGGTGATATTATGTTTGTATAGCTTATAATTAAGGGCAGTTTTTTCTATTGTATACATTGTTAACTAACCACAGATTAGAATGATTTGATTCCAAAGCAATAAAAATGATGTGGCATGTGAAAATGACTGAAGGAAAAATTTGCATTACATCAGTATATATTTAAATGACTGCAATATTAGCTTATCGGCTAAAAGGTAGTGGGGGAAAAAACTTTTCAAACAGATTGCCCTTGAGTATTCACCCCAAAGCATTTGGAGCTCTCAAAAGTTCCTCCCACATTCAACATACTTCAACAGAAGAGGGTTTTCCTAGTCTTTAAACTGGAACAACTTGTTCTAGAGACTTTTGTGGTGCCACTGTAGAAGGCGAGTAGGCATGTTTACAATAGATGAAGCAATAGCTTCATTTTGGCTTAAGGTGCCCCTTTAACTGTTGATATCAAAGATTATGATGTTATGACTGTGTAACCTGAAATACCCACATTTGAACCGTGGGCCCCAAGGGACCTCTCCTCATTCTCTGCATCAAAAACTGTACATCAATATAAGGCAAGCACCCAGCATATGAGCAATAGGGTCTACGCAAAGGCCAAAATATCAATAATAACAGTTATGAAGGTGACAATCACTTAACAAGCACATTGGTGTTTATATTATTGAATAGGAAAAACATACAGCAATGACATCTGTCAGTGGCGAAATCTGTTTGTTAGCATGTAGCTATGAGACTCTAAAGTCACCTCACCTTAATTATTCAAATACACCAGAAACACCAAGCCTACTATCAGCCTAGGGCTGCATGATATGCACACTACTAGCGTGAAGCTGATGCCTTCTACAATATCAGTATTTCAAAAGCCTATTTTGTAAAAACAATTAAGAGACAATACTTTGTGTAGCCCACTACCAGGTTCAAACTATGAGACACAAGCGGTACTTCATTAGCAACAAGAACTGCTAATAAAGAAGATTAAAGTGACTCACCGTTGAGGAAGAGCTCTTCTTGTCTCGCCTGTCGTGCCTCGGGTGAGAAACACCTTTTCTTCAACCAGTCAGGCTCAAACTCACTGCTGTGTTGATCCGGCCATGTGATGGAGACCTTCACAAGAGGTCAAACACTTCAGTTTAACGTAAATGTGTGCTGGAGTTCTATAAGACTTGTGCATGCAGAATGACTAATTACAATGTAATAAACAATAAAACCAACATGTAGACAGTAAGGGTCACAAGGCCTGTCACAATTATTACATCATTGCCTTATTGTGATTATTTAAGCCAATCACAATTATTTTCTGCAGCTGTCAGCTTTTACGTTGTATATATGTTGCAAGAAACAGAATATAAATTGGGGACATTCTCCTCAGGTGGGCTACCAGTAAATGAGCAATGGGGTCTAGGTAAGGGCCAAAAGGTCAAAATTAATAGTTCTGATGATGATAGAAAAAAAAGATTTAAAAAGTACATTTGTGTTCATATGACTGAAAAGCATCAACATACAGTAAGGGTATATGTCAGTGGCAAAACCCATTTGTCTGCATGTAGCTATGAGACTCTAAAGTCACCTAACCTCAGCTATTCAGGTGTGTCAGAAACAGCATGCAAACTGTCAGACTAGTGCTGCATGATATAAATAAAACTGTGACAGTGAAGCCTTCTGAAATATCAGTATTTCAAGGGCCTACATAACAATAACAATTAAGAAACAATAAGTTGTGTAGGCCTGTATCAGGTTCAAACTGTCAGACACAAGCAATCATGCATGATGTTTGTTTATTTGATGTTTGTTAATATCTTTAGAGAGTAATGTTTGCCTTTAACACTTTTAGATGGTAGTGGTGAGGAACTGGCTGTTTTTTGAGCTTGAGCTGTTTCGGTCATCAGTCAGAGGCTACAAAGGCCCAATCCCATTTCTTATTTTAACCCCTACCCCTTGTTTTCGAGTGTTCCCTTCCCCTTGGAACTGAATTACAAGTTATAGTGGTTGAAATCTTCCCATACAAAATGGGACAACCCAAAGAACCCAAAGGACAACCCAAAGAACATTACTTCATTAAGAGGCTACTAGTGCTGCTCTGTAGGTGACCCTGCCTGTCTGCAGTGACAGCAGAGGAGGGTAAAGTTCAGCAACCTCACTGCAAGTCTTTAGTTAAATTTAGGGCATCATATGCCTTCAAAGAAGGGAGGATGCACCAAATATTTATTATCACCCACCCCTAATTCTTTGGTGATATGAAGCTGAAGTCAGCTATTCACCAGCTTCTTGTTCGAATTTTCCCATTCCACTTTTAATTGGGGCAGCAGAGGTGCCAGAATGTAACTGCTGCACCATTTAAGATGGAACAGGAAAATCAGCTAGCTAGCTACTGAGACATGTGTACTATCAGCGATTTTTATGCTTGTTATGAAGAAAAGGAAAACCATAATACATCGAAACAACATTAACATTAACATCTCATAACACTCCGGTTGGAGTGTGCCTATGATAAACCTCTGTTTGGGGGGGCCATGAAGCCCTAACACTTCGCCCTACTCCTTCATCTCAACAATAATTGGGACACCCTACCCCTAGGCGTGAACATGCAAAACAAAGGGTTAAGGGCTAAGTGCTAGGGGCAAGGAGTGGGATTGGGCCTGTGTCGACAGCTAGGATGCAAAATAGCTAATCAATCAATGTTGTCACTTTAGGCTGGGAATTTACTAAGTGCACACAATCAGCAATAAATCTGGTAAATGCAATTATTTGTATGGCAATTGATCATAACGGGACTCCTACCTTGTTGTTCTCAGTGACCTGCACTTGATCCATTCCAGTGTGCACATCGAGGTCAGTAAGCAGAAGACTCCGAGCCTGTGCTGACTGCAGGGTGCACAGAGGGCACTGGCAGTTATCCCTAAGCCAGGTGAATGGATAGAAACTACAAGTGCCATCATCCCACTCCACCTGCAGCAGTCTCTCATTGTCCAGTGCCCTAGCCTGCCTAACCCCAGGACTCCCCCCTACAGCAGGCAGGGCTGCTGCCAGTGTCTGATGGCCAAAGCAAGGCACTGTGATTGGCCTGGATGTACGACTGGCCCCTTTCAACACTTGGAGAGCCCCTCTAGAGGCACAGCGAGCTAGACTGGATAGCATCCTGAATGTGAGGCACCTGTGGTGTGGCGTGTAGCAGTGAGAAGCAAGCTGTCTTTCTGGAGACACATAAAAAGGGTGAACAGATTACATAAGCATTTTACAGCCTCTTTTATAAGTTTACGACACCTTTGTAATAAGACGATAATCTGTTTATTCACTGTAATAGCACACCGCAGTGTTGGGAAGTGAATGACCCATCCAAAAGAAGTTCATGTTTATAAAGTAAGAATGCAGCCAAAAGATAAGCTTACCAAAAGGGCTGAAAGCCTGAAGATAACCTGAGGAAGTTTTCATAGTTTTTAATAAAGCTGCATGATAAAAAAATTGGCAGGTATAAAGATCTGGCCCACAATAAAGACTGATTAAACTTGAAGCTGATTTAAAGTAAAGCATGACATCATTGCTATTAAGGTAGATTATTCAAGACTTTTAACCATCTGCGTCCTAGATGTAAACGTCACTGACCACTACAGATAACACATCATATGATTCTGTGATCACCATTTGTCCCACATATACCTGCTACTTCACACAAATGTTTGTCTTGTAAAGTCTCTAGGCACGTCCATTCATGCTGTTTTGCATGTTCTGCCAAACAACACCCACCGCAAGTATTGTGTAAAGTCAGTACAAGGTGCTTCTAGTCTCATTAATTTAATTTATTGTAACATGGATTGTTGTGGTCTGAATTACATCTTGTAAGTGTAATGTAAGTACTTGTATTGCATAGTATATCAATTTTATATTTGTTTAAAAAATATATATTTGATATCTTGTAAGCTGGTTAGAAAAACACAGCTTTGGTTCCAGACTTCTCATTGTTGTTCCCAGCTATCCCATGGATTTCTTAAATTCCATCAACAGCACTCGTGAGTTATTTTAATGAAGGTTTAATTAACCAAACCAGGTATCGAATGGTAACTACAAGTAATAATTGGCTTCCTCATAGAGAGGTTTGGAAATGGTTTAAACAAAAACTTTGACATATTTAAAATCACTACTGACATATATTCACTTAAATTAATAAATACATTACTTATATATATATATATATATATATATATATATATATGTTTTTCTGAACAAAAAAATGCTTTCCATCCAGATAAATAGCTTAGACACGAAGTGCTAGACCAAGCAAATTCACAGAGTGTGGCTGCTGAGTGCTGAAGTGCACAGTGCCTGTCCTGTTGAATCACTCACTAAAGAGTTCCAAATTGCCTCTGGAAGCAACATCAGGAAACAAAAGATCTGTGCATCAGAAGCTTCACGAAATGGGTTTCCACGGCCAAACAGCTACACACAAGCCTAAGAGCAAAATACACAATGTCAAGCATCAGGGAAGAGTGGTGTAAAGCACGCCGCCACTGGACTCTGGAGCAGTGGAAAGGTATTCTGTGGAGTGATGAATAAAGCTTCTCTATCTGGCAGTCTGATGGACGAGTCTGGGTTTGGCGAATGCCAGGAGAACATTACCTGCCTGACTGCATTGTGCCAACTGTAAAGTTTGGTGGAGGAGGGATAATGCTACGGGTTGTTTTTCAGGGGTTCCAGTGAAGGGAAATCTTCCTCAAAGCAGGGTCAATGAAGGCATGGTTGGGCGAGTTTGGTGTGGAGGAACTTGACTGACCTGCACAGAGCCCTGACCTCAACCACATCAAACACTTTTGGGATAAACTACAACAGACATTGCCAGCCAGGCCCTCTCATCCAACATCAGTGTCTGACTTCACAAATGCTCCTCTGGATGAATCGGCAAAAATTCCCTCAGACACTCCAAAATCTTGTACAAAGCTTCCCAGAGGAGTGGAAGCTGTTACAGCTGCAAAGGGGGGACCAACTCCATATTAATACCTATGGATTTAGAATGGGATGTCATGAAAGCTCCTGTAGGTGTAATGTGTAGGTGTCCCAATACTTTTGTCCATATAGTGTACATATGCTGCTTATGAATTATAGTTGACCTAACCTTATGTAAAAATTATAAACTGTCTAGTAAATGACCGTGTCATCTGGACCTGAGGTGTAGCATATGATCATCACCGTCCAAGCGAAACAGCCCAATATCTATATCTACAAAGCTTTCATTGTAGAAGCGACCCCGGCAAACAGCACAGGCTACCTGAGTGTAGATACAGCCTATCAGTCCAGTATAAAGTCTGTGCTCTAATGTTCGCCGTCCACTGTGAGCACAGGTCACATCCACCTGCCCGCTCCTCAGAGCAGTTACGTCACTCTGCCGTGGGTGCACGCGACTGCCTGAATGGCGCGCGCCCAGAAGTGGGTGAAAGGTTACAGCCTCCTCCTCCTCTCAGTTATGCTCTCTGTCACCGGTTTACTTCCACAAGCTTCTGTTTGACTTGCATGTTTCGCAGAGGCAGTTTTAAAGGTTTTAACCCAGCGTTTTATGTTTTAACCCTCTGTAGAAATGAACAATGGCGCGGAGGCAGAATGTGTGTAAGAGTAATTTACGTTTTCAGTTTTTCATGCTAGCTTACCGGCTAGCCTCTCGACACTACCGTGCTTTCACTGTTAGCCGACGAGTGAAGCATAACACTGTAGACTGAAATAAACCTCTGTCCTGTGCAGGTGCACTATCCGAGCAGTGTACTGCTAATAAGAGAGAATAAAGCTCACATGCAGTCGGTGCAGTGAGGGTGAACTTACCGGCAGTGCGGCACGGCGGCGGAGGGAGGAGGTGTTATTCGGGCATGAGCGTTTATATTGAGATCAGCGTGCAGACGCGGAGAGAGGAAGTAGGGGAAAGGTCAGAGCCGAGCAGAGCGCCATGGCCTTAATGAGAAAGGTTACAGTGGCTGTAATCTGCTGATCGCTAAAAAGTGAAACTGAAATCTGTCTGAGAGCAGTTTAAAACTTTTAAAAGTTTAAAGTTTTTAATCTCTGTTTTAAACGTGATCACACCCACGGGCGTGCGTACCTTAGGCTTGCAAACCACACACGCTCTGAGCAATTTACATATATTTTTCAGTGGTCAGGACACCCCCCGGACCTCCACTGATCGGGTATTATTGGGGTGGTGGGTCATTCTCAACACACACACACACACACACACACATATATATATATATACATACACATATATATATATACATATACATATATATGTATATATATATATATATATATATATATATATATTTATTTTTTATTTATTTATTTGTTTGATTTGTTTGTTTATAACTCCAGCAGCACTGCTGTGTCTGATCCACTCGTACCAGCACAACACACACTAACACACGATCACCACGTCAATGTTACTGCACTGCTGAGAATGATCCACCACTCAAATAGTACCTTCTCTGTGAGGGTACATGGGGGTCCTGACCACTGAAGAACAGGGTTAAAGGGGGCTAACAAAGTATGCAGAGAAACAGACGGACTACAGTCTGTAATTGTAGAACTACAAAGTGCACCTATATAGTAAGTGGAGCTGATAAGATGGACAATGAGTGTAGAAACAAGGAGGTGGTCATAATTTTATGCCTCATTAATATATATATATATATATATATATATATATATATATATATATATATATATAGCCAAAAGTATCCACTCACCCATCCAAATCATTGAATTCAGGTGTTCCGATCACTTCCTGTTCCAACATGACTGCGCACCAGTGCACAAAGCAAGGCCCATAAAGACATGGATGAGCGAGTCGAGTTTGGTTTGGAAGAACTTGACTGGCCTGCACTGTCCTGACCTCAACCCGATAGAACACCTTTGGGATGAATTAGAGCGGAGACTGCAAGCCAGGCCTTCTCGTCCAAAATCAGTGTCTGACCTCACAAATGCTCTTCTGGAAGAATGGTCAAAAATTCCTACAAACACACTCCTAAACCTTGTGGAAAGCCTTCCCAGAAGAGTTGAAGCTGTTATAGCTGCAAAGGGTGGGTCGACATCATATTAATGCCTATGGATTAAGAATGGGATGTCACTCAAGTTCATATGCGTGTGAAGAGACGTATACCTAATAAAGTGGCCAGTGAGTGTGTATACCACTTTACTCCATTTTTCAGTGGTCAGGACACCATCACTGAGCAGGTATTATTGGTGTAGAGGGTCATTTCCAGCACTGCAGTGACATATTACAGACATATATATACTTTACCCCATTCATCATTGATCAGGTGGTCATGAACCCCACAGGACCACCACTGAGGAGGGGTTATTTGGGTGTGGGTAGCTGGACCTAAGAAAGTGGCTAGTGACTGGATAGAGTATTAATACGAAGTTTGCCCATCTTTGCTGCAGTAAAAGCCTCTACTCTACTGTGATGGTTTTACACTATATGTTGGAATATTGCTGTGAGGATCTCATTGCTTCAGGCACAAGAGCATTAAAGAGGCCAGGTACTGATGTATTGCTGTTCTTCATGAAGTTCATCACTCCAGAGAATGCAGCTCCACAGCAGGCCAGTGCTGGGGGGCTTTATACCCCTCCAGCTGCTTGGCATTGGGCATGGTGGACGTGGTGGAGCAGCTTCAGAGTATCATTGTATCTGTGATGCTTTTCTATGTAGATAATAGAAGCTGTGTATGGGTAGTTGAACGCCTGTATCAGCAGTGGTTGCACCTTAAAGTAGCTTAATTCACTAATGTGAATAGTGTAGATAGATTAACAGAAACATACGTACATCAACAGTGACGAAATCCATGCACATCAGCAGGTTTACAAACATTCAACTTGATGAAAAGCTGCAGTGTTGTAATTCATGTGATGTAAGTAGCCTTTTAGTGTTGGCCAAACAGTGTCTTGTGCCAAGCTGGTGAACAGCCAGCAGTGACCTTATTGTGAATTTATTTTAGCATCATGTAATGGTATCACATTTTATTAAAAGGTGCTTGTAATATTGCAGCATGATATGTGTTCTCTTTCTCTCTCCCTCTGTCTCACTCCCTCCCTCCCTCCCTCCCTCCCTCTCTCCCTCCCTCCCTCTCTCTCTTTAACACACACACACACACACACACACATACACACACACAAACACTCAGTCAATGCCCTTTGGCCCAGAAATTGAGAGCTCACTGTGACCACTGACGATTTCCACTTCCACAATTGCCCTAAAACAAAACATTTATGGGGGAAACACTCAACAGAGAACTACTCCTCAGCAGCTGTTAGCATGACTGCATTCCCATGAGCTAAACCGATACCCAAGCACCTGTATGGGCTTACGAAAAAGCACAGTTGCAGCTGCTGTCTATCTGTTGCTTTCTATTAAACCCTGCATATTCCTACATGCATCATAAACTGCTTTGAGAATGTGCTGCTGTGAAATCCCTGTCTTTCACTCCTTCTCTAATTTAAAACCTGTTCTCAGGCTTTGGCTGTAATCTCTGTCCTTTGAAGAAATTGGCCGTTCTCTGACACTGCTTTGGCACACATTCGCACATAGATTTCACTGAGGAAATACAAATGTGTGTGGGTAGCCCACTTTAAAGCAGTTTAATAAAGGCTACAGAGGAACAAGATCCATGGACTTCTGAATGGTTTGTACATGAGTGACTTATTATGTTGAAAAGTCTTGTTTGTCAATTTAAGAGGTTTTTTAAACATTCTACAGAATTGAATCTATGTTTCTATATGTATATATAGACTTTGAGATCGCTAGCACCACCACTGTAAATAAATCACTGTCAATAAAGTCTACGTTTCTCTACAATGCACCATTTCGCATCAAACCACCCTAAATGTTTACAATGTACATTTTTTGAGATGTAAACAGTCATTTGGAGTGGTTTGTTGTGAAATGGTGCATTGTAGAGAAACTTGTAGACTCAGATTTTTATAGTAGTGATAGGAATCGGGGTAGAGATCTCTACAACACAGATATAGCCATTTTATTTACTATTACTATCTAAAATAACCTAAATTGACCTACACATGTCTTGTGAGTTAAGATGTAATGCTGACTATGGTAAAATAGTGGTAAATTTGAAAAAAAAAAAATCGTTGGGTATTATTTTGCCTTACAATGCTCTGCATGTGTCTCACCATTTTAAAAATACATTTTTTTATCTCAAAAATATTGCTAAATAATGACTCTGGCATTAGACAGCATGTAATACATTCCTGTGATGTTGCTTTTAGAGACATTAAACGCTTTGGATGTCTGGTTCCTCTCACCACAGCTGTGAACAATTCTGACTTTCTCTAAGTTTCTTAGAATGGAGTATTTCATGTCAAACCACTATGAATGATTTAGTTTGCATCTTAATGATGTTAATATGCAGAAGTGCAGAAACAAAATCAGTGAAATTCCCATTGAAGTCTCTGTTTCTGTCTCAATTCAATTCAGTCCAATTAAATTCAATTCAGTGTTCTCACAGTATTGCCTAAGACTCGGTGAAACAAAACATTTAACATTTCCCTCTCTCTCTCTCTCTCTCTCTCTCTCTCTCTCTCTCTCTCGCTCTCTCTCGCTCTCCCTAAATGAAAGAGCAGGACATGAAGTGTCCCGAAGTGTGTATGACACGTGTCTGACTTTTCTGATTTCTTCATAATTAGAAATCTGCCTTGCTTGTGCTTTATGATCCTGACTCATTCTCTGTCTGCGTGTCACGTTTAAAAACAACTCCAAAAGCCTTCCAACACCAAAACACGCAAACCTCCATCTTTAAAGATTTTTATTACAAAGTGGAACAAACCCAACCTCTCAGGAATGCAGCTCCACATGGTAAAAGGTCTGAAGTCCAATATTCCTGCCCGCAGTTATCTTTGGTTCTGAGGATGCGTCATCCCCGCTCTCTTTCTCTCACAACATCTCAGAGAATAATTACAAGAATATATTCTTACTGCAACATCTCATTACATGAATAACATACAATGAAGCTCTTCCCCACCCCATAAAAATATAGACACTCACAGTTTAACAACTTAGACACATATATAACATATTCAAATGTACAGATTTACCATGGAACATAAAAAAGTCCATACGTCCAAATACATTTCTCCTCTTCTTAATAATAATAATAATAATAACAATAACAATAATAATAATAATTAATAATAATAAATGCTGTTTTACATAATAGACTTCAGCCGTATGTTTCAGGAGGATAGTCAGACTGAATGTTTAACCATTGCTACTGAACTAACACTAAAGACAGATTATAGTTTTCAATGGTGCATATTCTAAACGCATATTCATATTTCACTGAAAGTAAAAAGCTCTGGATTTACTTGACTCAGCTGTGCACACTGTTCAACCTAAATAAAACATATAACTTACTTTTTCTGGCCATTATTGCACTGATATGTACTTTTGGCATCCACTGTACTGACGTCATATATTTCATTTGTGTGGAACCTATGCGTCATGAATCAAGTATATCCAAAGTATTTTTTTTCCTTTTTTTATTCTCTTTTTTTTTGTATTTTGAAACATGCACCATAAAACTATGTGTCCATCTGTTTTTCATGGTTTTTGCAGAACATAAACATTCAAGTACTGTACATTTCTTGGCCGAGTGCTAGTAAAAGTTAACACCCGTTACTATTTCCACATGCTGATAAATGCCTGGACTCTTCTGACGAAGAGTCTGCGTGTTCAGACCGTCTGTCCGAATGAGTAAGCACCAAGAGGTGAATATCTGAGCACTGGACGGCTCGTCCGTGCTGTGTCCAATCTGCGTGGGGCAGTGGACTGAACATTGCACGAAACAGCTGCATTAATTTTGGCCAAATACCCGAGTAATGTGGCCGATTCAAACGTACACATCAGATCCACAAGAACAAAATATACAGCACAGATACTGGTAAAAGTAAGTGAACTGGAGGATAATAACTGTGCTGGTGTGATATATTTCATTCATCCGGAACCCATGCGTACATTCGCATCAAGCAACTTCAAAACAGGAATACAAATAGAAAAAAAAAAAGACAAACCAATTGCACCTTTTTTTCCTATCAGTTCTGTTCGGTTAAAGCGCGTGCCCGTCCGCGTGTTCGCGCACGCGTACCCCTCGGTCCCTCTACTTCATCCCTTCAGATACTCGTTCTTGAGACGGCTGAGGCGCGCGCCGTGGCTGCGCACGACGAGCGAGAGCAGCTCGTGGTGGTCGACGAGGGAGACGGCGAGGTGGCGCGTCTCGCGCAGCAAGTCGCGCGCGTGCGCCGCCATGCCCGCGAAGTCTTCGCTGGGGCGGCGAGCCTCCTCGCGCTCGCGGCTCTGCGCGAACTTGCCCTCGAGCTCGAGGAGCGCGCGCTCGGACGCGGCGAACGCCTCGCTGATCTGCGTGGTCTCGCGCCGCAGGTAGCGAGCGTAGCTCTCCTCGCCGTCCAGGTCGAGCGCCACGCTGCGCGCGAGCCCCTCCAGCACGCGCGCCGCGTCCTCCGCCTGCCGCCGCACCAAGGTGAAGTCCTCGCGCACCACTGCGTCGGCGTCCGCGTCCTCGCTGCACGGGCGCCGCTCGTCCGTCACGCGGAACAGCATCTGGCACTTTTCCGGGTCGTCGTTTTCCTCGTAGTTACCGTCCGGCACGAAGTAGTGGTGGAAGGTGCCATTGGACATCTCCGGGTGCAGCGGACCCATGAACAGGGCGTGCGTGCACACCATCGCCCACGCGCTCAGAAGCAGTCCCGCGTGCAGCACCATCCTGTGTGTCTGTGTAGGAATGTTTCCCCCGTTTTTCTCCAGAACTCGTCTTTTTTGCACCAAAGCGCGCCCACTTTTACGCGCACCTCTTCAGACCCGATCTGTAGCCAGTCTCCTTTCTTCTGCACCGAGCATCTCTAAAGCGGAGCGCGACATTTCCATACGCGAAGAAAGCGCGAGCTAAAAGCCACCCGGACCCCCAAGGCTCGAGCGTTCACACTCGCCCCTCCGGACTTGCTCACTAGAAGCTGAATCAGACGGCTGCCCGAATGGCCCAAAAACACGGTGTGCTGCAATGGGCTCTGTCCCCGGGTGCGTGCGCGCGCGTGCGTGTGGCTGCCCAACATCTGGCTAAGGCACTAATGATAGCCCGGCTCCCTCTCTCAAATTACAAACCCCCGTCACCGCTTCACTTACAAGGCAGAGCACATCGCTGGCTGGAGTTTAGGATTAAAGGAGCAGAAGCTATTAGGAGCTTTTAAGGGAGGTGAATGAGGCAAAAAAATACATACACGAGAGATGAGAGGTGGTGCTTTCAAATCTGACAGGACGTCTTCGAACATATTGGGATTTCCTTTAAGACCCTATGAAAATATTAACTTTTTTTTTTCTCTAAATACTCTGAGGCAGATCAGTACTTAGAATAAATACCTCACATTGACATTTCATGTTTGAATCACCTCCCTGTTAATAAGTCTCAGCAATTCTGCTGGCAAAAAACGGATCTGTGGTATCTCAATTTGAAAGAATCTCAATTTAAATTTTTAAATTACATAATTTACATTATCTTACTTATTCAGCCTACAGATGTTTAGTCCATGCAACATGCATTTGGTTGTGACTGGTTGATATACTGCACTTTGTGTTTCATCATTTTCACAGAATTGGCAAGATATATAATATAAGCCATATGGACACACACACCCCCTCCTGACACACACTCACACACATGTTCCCTTCTGAATAAATAATTCACCTTGTCTCCTCACGTTTGGATCACCTCCTGTTAATACATCTTAGCAATTCTGCTGTACAAAAAAAAAACAAGTATCTCAATTTGTTTCTATTGTTAGTTTTCTGCATAGTTTATGATATCTTACATATTAAGCCTACAGAAGTTTAGCCCGCCCATTCATGCTGAAGTTATAAGGAGTGTTTCAGCCTGGACTGCCTTATATCAGTCTTAAAAGCTCAGTAATAAAACCGCCTGTTTAATTCTAAGTGATAATAAGTGGTTGGAAAATGGTTGTGTAAAAAATTAAGTATGATTGTTTCTGGCATATATAACCATGCAAGCATGGAGGAGAATAAAGTACAAGAAAAACGTGATACAGCCCTTTAAAAACAGATTTTTACTCTCGACATTTTCCCAATTTTATGTCCAGGCACTGGTCATGGATTTTATTTGTGTGCTGTTTTCTGTGATATATTAACCACCTAACATTCTAGGCTTATTACATACTAAGGCTTTTTATTCAGGGTCTTTAATGCAAACTTATGGAGCTTTTCTTATGTTATAGAAGTAAACAAAACTGTGAGCCTGCCGCCAGGCCCATGACTTGGTAAGGGGTTAACAGTTCATTGTGCACTTTGTCTTATTTTGTAGTTATTGCTTATTTAAAGCAGATTGTAACACTTTTAAAGGTGCTGTACAGCACATAAAGACTTACAATGTTACCTCTTATTGTTATGCTTTTATTATTCTGCAAGGTACTTCTTGTTGCTGCTTGTCAAACATGTTAATAAGAAAGTGGTGAACAATCTCTCAATAAGCTTTTCAAGATGAAGATCTAAATTAAGTGGATGATGTGATGATGTCAAAGCCTCAGTACAACTCTAACCCTCTGCTTAAATTAGTAATGGCAGTTGACCCCAGCCTAGCAGGTTCCTACATGTTTAAATGCACCGAAACACAAAGATATGATTTAAGTGTTCAATTAAGTTCCATTCAGTTTTAATAAGATTTGAAGCTCTTGGCACTGAGAAAGTTAAAGAGAGGAAAGTCCAGTTTAACTACAAGAGTGAAAGACACATTGCTGGACGCCCCATGTTGCTTTTCACTGGCCTGTATTGAAGGTGCCAGGTGGTTGACGTGCCTTTGAAAAGAAAAGTGCTCTCTTTACTGCTGCGATCTTCATTTCCACAGGCGGCTCTCCGCCCGGCCCTCTCTGAGCTGCTCCTTCTGCCTATTACTCCAAAGAGGGGCGCTGAGTGATGATGAAAGGTCACGACCTCTGTAGAGCATGAGACTAAGCAGGCGCTGCTTGGCCCTGACACCATGGTGAGCTCTTCTTTCTCACTCTCCCGAAGGGGCCCCTGGCAGAAGGGTGTGAATACATAGACACACAAAAGAAAATACTTCTTAGTGTGAACTGTCATCTCAGTCAACTCTGATATTAGCCAGATGAAGCAAGGTCAAATAAAAATGAATAAGTCAGAAACACTTCACAGCATTAGGAAAAAATGATCTGATAATATGAAAAATAAACTAATAAAAAAGATGAACTGTTTTAAGTGTGTCAGATACCCTTAAGTAAGGGTTCTAAAAAGGATTTGAAGCAATATAGCAGAAGAGTAGAATAGTAGTTCTTTAACAATGTAATTGAAACTACTTAGTTGAAAGATTCTTTAAGGAAACAGAAATATTTTTGTATGACTTTGCTCCATAAAAGTCTTTCTGGTTCCCTAAAGAGCCATTCAATGGATGGTACTTTAAAAACGCAGATGAAACCACTTCATTGAAAAGTGCTTTAGGGAGCCAGAATTGGTTCTCCTTTGGCATTGCTCCACAGAACACCTTTTGATTCCCTTAAGAATCTTTCAATCGCTGATTCTTTAAAAAAAAATAAATAAAAAGAACCCATTTCATTCTTTAGGGAACCTCTATGATATTGATCCGGAGAACCATTTTTGCCTACTAAACCTGTCAGTGTATGGTTCTCTTAAAACCCAATTGAAACAAAAGTTTGTTAGGGAACAGAACTGAAAGTATTTCTTAAATGGCATTGTTCCAAGGAAGACGTTTTGTTCCCTAAAACTCTCAGTGGATGGTTCTTTAAAAACATCCTAAAACTACTCAGTTAAAAGGTTCTTTGTGGAACAAAGAAGTGTTTTTCTATGGCGTTGCACCCCCAAAAACATTTGGTTCCCTATATCTTTCAAAGGATAATTCTTTAAAAACCCAACTGAGCCCACCTAATTGAAAAGTTCTCTAAGGAACCAAAAGGGGTCTTCTAAAGAACACCTTTTGGTTGCCTGACAAAGCTCTCAAAGGATAGTTCTTCAAAAAGCTTACTCACTTAAAAGGTCCTTTAGGGAACCAACCCTTAAAAAAGGGGGTTCTTTGGTAAAGGAGAAGCTTACATATGGAACCAAGAGAACTCAAAGAACTATTTGAATGTTAAATGGTTCCTTGCATGGTTAAATCGCTCTCCATCCTGTTATATTTGGTTCATTAAAGGCATTGCTCCAAAGAGGCCTTGGCAGCATTATTTTAAAGAGTGAAAACTGGCCAGAGGTGAGTCAATGTAGTGATCATGAGACATGCATTTGGTCATGACTGACTGATATACTGCACTTTGTGTTTCATCATTTTCACAGAATTGGCAAGACCATATGGACACGCACACACATGTTCTGTCAACGTTCTGACTTGACTCTGAAAAACTGCATTCGATCTGGTGTGTCACAGAGAATGAAGTAATGAGTAACTTTTGAGGGCGTGTCTCCTACACAGCTTTAAAAAAAAAAAAGCTTCCCGGGCTCCCAACAAACACTCTTCAGAGTCATAAAAAACCCACCACAGACAGAGCACAACATGTGAGCCAAAGGGAGCGAGGGGCAGACAGCTTAACTGAGAGAGAGCATGCATGTGTGTGTGCAGAAGAGTTTCAGTTTTCACTATGTCAGGATCAGTTGTTCCCTACCTTGCATTCTCCAGAGACACTTTTAACTTTTATGACTCTTCCAAGCAAAATTCTGAGGAACCTTCTGTATACACCCTGAACCCCTTTGAACCTGGTTCCCCCGAGGTTCCTCCTACAGAAATGCACTATGAGCTGCTGGCTCTGACTCTGCTCTCATCGCTCATTTCAAAGGTGGTCTCAGATCCTTCTAAATGCATTGCGTCCAGCTCCTTGAGAACTTTTATCATTGTCAAGTTTCCTAAGAACGGAGACTCATTAGTAATTTCAGCATATTCAGTTTCCTCAGAAGGAACTGAATGTTTTTATTAGCCATCAATAGCAACTATGCAAGTTTAAACAAAGTCCTCATTTTCAGCTGTCTAGCTGAACTGTTGTACCATTGTAGTCAGCGGTCAGTGAGCGCGTAATTGATGGCATAGCCGAATCGTGTAAACGAATGAACTCCCGGGCTGCGGGTTGAAGATTCTGTTCTCTTTCCACATGCTTCACTGAGATGATGTAGCATAAATATCCTTAAAGTCACCATGTTATATGTGGGCAGATCCTTAAGTAAATCACAACTTTGTGCGGTTCCGTTGTGGTTGAGCTGAATTGAGGCCATCCGCTTGGCAGGAAAAACCTGGGCACTGGCATAAATGCCATGAACCTCATATGAACTGAGCTAGTGGGCCAGTGTGTATCTGAAAGGGCAGGATTTATGGGCAAGTGGTTGATTCATCATTAATCCTCTCAGAGGCATGATAAAACACGGTCTCACTGGACCCACAGCACTTTCCATGAAGGAAAAGGTCTCAATTATTGAAGCTTTCGAACAAGAAGACCATAAAAGATGCAGATGCTGGGGACAGAGCCATCAGAAATAAAACAGAAACTGAGCACAGCAGTGTCATGTTTTTCTATTCCTGTCTACCATTCCCCTGAGGGGATGCGATGTCAGGCTGGGGACACATGCATGCACGAAATTCACATATTCATAGAGTCCGAAACAATCTCAAAGGTACCAGAAGTGGGCTTTGGAGCAATTGAAGAACCATCTTTGGTTTCCTAAGAAACCTTTCGATTAAAGAAACAAAAACCTTTGACCTGATCTCTATCTGGGGTATCTGTAACATACAGGTGACCACCATGGAAAATAATTTCACTTCTGAATTTAATACTTTCAATGATTGCGACCCTAAAGTAGCCATAAAGTGGAGAAATATTACTGTTATAATTAACAGGAGTTTTCATGATAGATGTCATAATGTTTGACATGAGAGCCATAATGTTGGCATAAACATGTCAACATGTCATATGCT